CGTGCCCAGCTGAGAGAAGCCTTGCCAGGAAGCAGTGTGCCAGCCAGACGTGGGCCCATGGTGCTCCTTGCCCCTGCACCCATGCAGGAAACAAATCAACCACCCTGATGCCAGAAATACACAGCAGCCAGCAAGCAGAAGCCATGCTTTACACTAGAAGCCTGAGTGTTCCTGTAAAGGACTCCATAGAAGGACTTCTTCTCCAGCACGCAGGCAGCCTTCCCCCCCATCTTCTCCTAGCATTACTGCATGTACTTGTCCTCAAACAATAGAACTTGGCCATGACAAGATTACCTGAGTAGCCAAACACACCCACTGCCCATCAAAATAACAGTGATGCAGCTCACTGGATCGTTGGCTAGCCAAACACCTGGAACGACTACCTTTTCTTTTCCTTTATCCAGTCTTACAGGTGTCATTGTTAGTAAACATTAAATCAATTGCCCTACACTTAATTCCATTATTTTGACCTCATTAAGGAACAGGCAGCTTCTAGCACCTTCCTGGGGACCATGTGACTTGGTGGCACATGCCCCAAGCCACTTCTAGGGTATATAAGAAGAGCATCTGCCCATTGTTCTCTCTCTTGCCTTCTGCCTACCTGACCCCACCCTACCTTGTTGACTCTAGTCCTAGTGCTGTCTAGAGTCTACCACGTGTGCTGCTGGCTATCACACAACCCCTTCCCTAGTATTTTCCCCATTTTTCACTGCAGAATCAACTTGCTGCGTCAGACTGCTAAAGTATCACCTCTCATCGATATTTTCCTGCTAATGCAACAGTCTCTGTACCTTTCTATCTAAATTTCTAGCTCTTTATTGTTTGAGTGTATGATTGTTTTATTGTATGTGTGTGTGAAATTATTCAGTAAAGAAACCATTTTATTTAAGATCTAGTCTCCCTGACTATTTCTGGGGATCTGGATAAATTGGGCTCTGGTATATGCAGGTTATTGGTCCCATAATTAATCCTATTGCCATTTTCCCACTCTTTATTAAGAAATAAGACAATTTGGCTAACACTTGCCAGCTTGGTGATAGCTGGCTGTAAATGCACCACAGAGGCTAAATTCTAATCAGGATCTTTCAGTGAGAAATATAACACCTGCCTTGCCATTTCAGGTCAGGAAAATGACACTGTGGGAGAGGGGAAGAAGCTCCCATGCCACTATCCTGACCAAAATTGTCCCTGTGGTGCATTTGTAGGCAGCTGCCACCAGGTACTGTCCTATGGCTGCCAGTCACCATGGGAAACACGTGACAAATGTAATTTCTGGTTTGGCCCTTAGAGAAAGCACAGTTATGTTCTGCAAGCACTCACTTTGACAAAAGGCAAGTATCACAGTTCTCAGCTTCCTTTTTCACTTTACCAAGTGGCTCTTTTTTTTTCTTATTTTCTCTGTCTGTCCCTCTCAGATGTTAAAATGTATATAGATGTATTCTGATACAGCCTAGGATACTGAGGAATTAAAACCTTTCGTTGGTATATGTCTGAATGTGGCACACAACTTGCTGATATTAATTCACAACACATAATTGTTTGATTTCGCTTTTATGGGGAAGTGATCTAGTCAGACTGTCAAGAAGGTTTCAGGTGAAAACTGGGCAGGTGGAAAGGCAACAGGAATGAGGGAAACTTTGTATAACTATACAATAGACAATTTGCCACACAAATGAAGCTGTTTTGTTCTTAGCTGTCAGATAAGCCTGAATAAGTTTACTTGTTACAGAATTGCTGAAGTCTGTGGAGGCAGGAACGTACACACTTGTTCCAGGTTCCTTCTCTAACACTTGATAGGGATCGCCCCCCTTTCCTAGGAGCTATTTCCCTCAGAGAAGGACTACCAGTTCCTTATAAGGATTGTGTTTGTATTTATGCTTTGTTATGGCCAATGGCTAATACAATAAACTTGATGATGATGACTACCAGTTCCGCTTCTTCCCTGTTGGAAACAATAAAGAAGCCAGAGCTGCCAGAGTCTTCTGTATGCTGACTATCGGGATAGGTAACCATACTCCTCCACAACAGACCCCAGAGGATACTACAGCCCTGACAGTCAAAATAACTTTGCCCAGTATAATAAGAATCATTATGAATCTTTTAAACAAGAAGGAAACAAATCTTAATGTACATCGTATCCAATTGACAGAACTATTTTAACCACAGAATTCTAAATTTTCACATTAACTATAAACCTTTAAATGTTCTTGTTTACTTGTCTTTTTTATTTAGTTTCATTTCTCTCTTATTTTAACATATAATGTGACTCACAAGACTTTTGTTGTAAGAATTTGGTTTTTTAATACTGTAATTAATGTCAATAATAATTGATTTCACCTTTGACCTCTCTGATTTATAACTAACATCCTTTGAAACTTCAGTAAACTTGCTAAATTTTAAGTTGGTCTGGCTTGTGGCTCACAATGTGTTGCTGGGGAACATGTTGAGAAGGGCATGAACTTCATGTGAGAAGTTTTTGACACCCCACGGTGAACTCCACAGCCTCATGTGACCAGCACAGTGTCTAGGGAACTTTGTATCAAGAGATACAAGTTTCATAAGCCACTACTATTCAGTTTGTTTTTTAAAATCAAACAAAATCATGTATTTGTGGCCGAGCAGAGGTTCTGTCTTCATACATTTTGTTACTCTCCTTAAAATTTTATTATTTTTATTTATTCATTTATTTACATTATTTACAGCCCGCCTTTCTCACTGAGATTCAAGACATGGTGTAAGTCAATATGATCAACAGGATGGGACATCCAACAAACATTGTAGTAGAGTTTGGAGTGCAGAAATCTGAAAGCAAAAATCTAAAATAGCGCTGAAACAAGCATAAACATTTAAACATGGCATGTTAAACAATACGGAAATTACATAGTCAGGGCATACTTAATAGCAGCAGACAGAACATAGTAGTATAGTCCACAGTCCCTTTCCAAAGCATCTTTCTGAAGCATTTCTTGCAGTACAGGCCTATGGCCTGTCTGAAAAGAGCCCTTCTGAATAATTAAGTTTTACATAGTTTGCAGAAAGCCAGGAGAGTTAGAGCCTTCCTAAACTCACCAGCAGAAAAGGTATCTGAAGAAGTGAGCAGTGACTCTCAAAAGCTCATACCCTGCCACAAATTTTGTTACTCTTTAAGGTGCTACTGGACTCTTACTGTTTTCTACTGCTACAAACAGAGTAACACAGCTACCCATCTTGATCTATAACCTCAGCAGGGAGGCTATTCCATAAGGTGGGAGCTGTGACAGAAAATGCATGTTGATTTTGCCCATTTGCAGGGTGACACCTTAAGAAGGCCCTGCTCAGATGTCCCTGCAGAAGGCCCTGTCATAGGGGAACATAGGGAGAGAGGTGATCCTGCAGATAAGAGGGACCAAGATTATGAAGGCCTTTGTATGTGATAGCCAGTATCGTGAACTAAGCTTGGTAACTGATAGGCAGCCAATTGAGTGATTGAGGAATGGGAGTAATATCCATTAAATGTAGGGTTGCCAAGTCTGGGTTGGAAAATACCTGGAGACTTTTGGGGTGGATCCAGGAGAGGGCGGAGTTTGGGGAGGGGCCTCAGCATGGTACAATGCCATAGAGCCCACCCTTCAAAGCAGTCATTTTCTCCAGGGGAGCTGATCTCTGTCAGCTGGAGATCAGTTGTCAAAGCGGGAGATCTCCAGGCCCTACCTGGAGGCTGGCAATCATAATTAAATGCATTTATTGCCTTATTTAGCCAAATACTTGTGAACATGGACCTGGAACTTTCTACATGCCAAGCAGATGATCAACCATTGAGCCACAGCCTCCACCTCCAACCCAGCTCATGCTTAATGTGTGACCTGGCACTCACCTTAAAAATAGTGTGTGTGTGTGTGGGGGGGGGCAAATCGGCTTAATGTGGTTCCTGGCACTCCACCCTGCGTGCTTTCGGTAGCAAAAAATGGTGTGTGGGGGGTGCTGTTTGTCTTACTTCTGGTTTCACAAGTCTCCTACGACATGTGCAATTGGCAGCAAGATAAACAGCCCACCTACTGGCACAGCTATCTTCTGCTTGCAGAAGCACCCAGAGTGGAAAGGAGGGAATTATGAAGCCTCTCCTGACACCGTGTGTGTGCTTGGGAGCCGATTTCCCCTCACAACACACTATTTTTTGGGTTGAGTACTGTTTCTAAGGTGAGAATGGGGTTTCTCCCAATCCAATTCGTGTTTAAGGTTTCATCTAATCAGACCCCTAGACATATAAACCACAAGCATAGGGCTGCCAAATCGGGCCAGAGGGCAGGGAAACCCCCGCTTTGGAGGCCCGATTTCCGCCGCGGCGGAATTGGGCCCTGGGGGAACCCCACCCCCGGCGTGCACGTCACTAGGAAGTGACGTGAGCACGCCTTATATAATTAACACACACACATGTGCACATGCTACCAATCTATACAGACTATTCATCAATAACAAAATGTATTTCATCTACATATATGACAGACTGTGTATTAAAAATCTTGAACATGTCACATGTCACTATTTAGTCATTATTGCACTTCCATAAACATTTGATATTTTAACAGAAGGAATTTATACCCTTACAGCATCCTCTCTATACATTTTTCACAGCTCAAGTTAATAACTGCAACATTTTGGTAGCAGGTCTTACACATACTTTATTGAGGAGATAGCTGTGTTCATATAGAAGCAAAAATGTGTTCTGTGGACTTGTAAAAAGTAATGTAAAATTAGACTGGAATTGCTATGCTCTCAGTTCACTGCTACTTCCAATACATTCATATAGCATTTCTTCCTGTTTTATGGCCAAATAAGAAAAAAAAATAGTTCTGAGTTGTGGGGGGAAATCATATAATTAAAAAACTTCGATGATCATTTGAAATGTTCAGGCCTCTGACTAAATTGCCGTGTTTTACTTTTGTTGGATTTTAACCAAAATGAACCTGCTGGTTAGCATACATTTGGGTGACACTGCTTGTTGTTGTTGTTTTCCCCCGTAGGCAACTGGTCCAGAAGGATCATTAAAGGATGGTGCCAAAAGTGCTCTGCAAAAAAGCTTCAGGGTTCTTAATGATGCCAACAGGCAAGCGAATGAAATTAAAGGTTTGTGTTTTCTTTTTTTAAAAGGTTTTGCTGAAAAGCTAATGAGATTCTCAGTGATTTCCATGGTTCAGAGACCTATATAGGAGAATGTTTTGATTTGCACTGTCACTTTTGTCACTCATTGGCCCCCTCCCCTTTCCACATGTGTTTTGCTCCCTCTGGGACTACTAGAGAGAGCAAAACACATTGCAGGGGGGGGGGGACTCTGAGGCAATAGGAGCGGCAGACTCTGAGAAATGCAAGTTCAAATCCTAACTGAGTCATGATGTTATTCAGTGGTTTTCGGCAACTTGCTATTTCTCAGTTTTTGCTTCCCATCTGTAAAAAAATGGGGAGCAATAAAAATAACGACCTGCAATCACATATGGGGTTGAGAGGACGAATGATAATAACAAGATTCTCTATCCTGAGAATTAGGGACAGGATAGTTTATGTGGAAATAGATAAATAAAGTATTTACAATCTCATGAACGGAAGGGAGGACCCAACAGAAGGCAAAGGAAGCTAATAAAAGAGGGGGGAGTTCAAGAGTTAGGGAAAATATCTTCTAGCTATTACATCACAGTATCTTCATCTAATTTTATTCTCACAGAAGCCTGTGAGTTAGAGTGTTTCTGGAGAATATCCAGTTACCTGTAAAGGCAGCCACTGAAACTGGGCCTGTCATAGCAACACAACTGAATTTAAGCAAAATAGCTTGCATTATATTGCAATAAGCAGTTGTTAACTTAATATTCATATACTTATATGCCTAGTTCTTGTCAAAGATTCTCTCGTTCACACTCATCACTAACTGAACATTCTGCCTTTCTGGAGCAATCTTTTCCCAGTGCAGAGGTTTCTTATAAAATTACAAATTAGGTACTCATATGTGGTCATGAAACTCTATTACAGGTTAATTGGAAGGTTATGAAGCTGATTTTTCTTTTTCATTAGAAAGTTCTAGCAGTGATGAAACTGCTTTTCTGAGACGTAAAGCTTTAATGTTTTCCCCAGTGCTCAGTCCTTGTATATATGGTAATATACTGTCACACATTTCACCCTCCCTGCAGGAGTCAGTTAAGCGTTTCGGCCTGAACAGAGATAAAGCAGAATTAGATGCTGAAATTAATTGTTTTTATTTGCTTTGTGGCTTTTGCTCTAAGATTATTATATTATAGGTGCTATTAATATAATCCTTTCTCTGCAGTTTGGCATTTCTGGGTTAGGAAGGGAACTCTGAGGTTAAAACATATAGAGCAAAGCCTCCTTAGAATTTCCCAAAATCCCTGTAGGAAACAAGAATTGAAAGATAAACTGTAGGGATTCCATAAAGAGCTAGTAGGCAGAAGTGATCATTAGTTTAGAATTTCTCTCTCTGCACTACAGGTAGTACATTAGTTAAAGTAATGAAAACCCGTAAACCACTCAAGTAATATATCCTCCAGGAAGCCAAGTCTGGGCTATGACAGAGATGGGAATGTTTTCGTGGTACGTTATGACATCCACCTGATTTGTAGCCAATTACATAAGGTATAAAATGGCTGTTAATCAGGAAAATGCCATATATTACCACCAAAAATTGCTGAAATAGTCCTTACAGAGCGAAACGTCTGACAGCAGCTATTAAAATGGAGATTTACTCATTTCTTTCTCTCTAAGGGGTTGGAAAAAGGAAAAAAAACTGGTGGGAGAAGTACATGCTACAGCTAGGATTTTGCACAAATATGATTTTCAAGATCTTGCCTGTGAATGAGTGAATGTTGCTTTCCTGATAGTAGGATTCTTTGTTTTCCAGTATACAACCATTGGTCTTTCTTGAAGAAATACTTTTAAAAGCATAGTTATATAAGAAGATATTTTATTTTCTCAGCTTTACATTATTTCTCATGGCTCTGGTACCCGTATATGTAAAAGGCTCTGTGACACTTTATCCATACCAATTAGGGCCAAATATGACGTTCACATTTTCTAAGAGTTGGTTCCAGGTTCCCCAGACCCAGCTTGGGTTCCCTGCAGCCATACAGCAGCCGCAGGGAATGACTATGAAAAAATAAGACCTAGAATGTTTGGGCTCAGAATGCCTCCACAGAGGAGGAAGAGCTCCTGCCTCCCTCCCCCCATCCATTTTCTGTGTTGAAACAGGATTGGGGGGAGTCAACTTCCGATTGTTACTACTACACATGGAGCATACCGCTTTCCCACAGCACTATTTTGGCATAAAAAAAATGAATGGGGGGAGGCAGAAGCCCTTTCTCCCCATGCACCAGTGTTCCAAGCCTAAACATGTTTCTTTCTTTTTAAAAAAAATAGCCATTCCCTGCACCTCCTGTGTGGCTGTGGGGAACCTGAGTTGGGTCCAGGGAACAAAGAGCCAGCTCTTTAAAAAAGCAACCATCTAGTTTGCCATGAGAAGTAGTATAAGCTGCTATTACCAATGCTCAAGGGGTGCTAAGGTTGTTTGATTTGTGTGGCTAGCCAATAAACCACACAGTGAAAACAAGGCAGCGAACATCAAGGCAGTAAAGGACAACAAAAGTATTTATTCGAATAAGGAATACCCTACAGCTTAATTCAGCCTGGGCATTCAATGAGCAAATGCAGTAAGCAAACTTATATACTCTTCTTGCTCCTCCTCACTTTACATCATCACTGACATCATGTAGACATGCTCAGTTCAGTTTTCTTTGTCTGGTCAGTCATCAGTCACATATTTGGCACACAGGATGCTAGTTGGCTGCGTTTCCCCACTCCTACAATGCAGGTGTAGCTCATTATTTCTAATTTACAGCTTTCTTTACTCATTTGGCACTACTCCCAGACTTCTGTTACCTCTGACTGAACTTTTCAGACTGGGTTCATTCTTAGTACTACATTCTGTCAGTTCAGTTACAAAATTTGATTTTATACAGACATTTATATATGCATACATGTTATAAAATCACCTTTGCTGGCATTTTGTGACTTTTCTATATTTCTATTAAAAGATACACGGATACATTGAATTTCTAGAAAAATGCAGCATTACAGCACTGTTTACTCAATTACACTCATATATATACTTTTCTAATACTATAAGGTAGCCTGTGTCATAAAACTTCTATAGATACATTGATTTACACATTATTATTCATTTTGGTTTTTCAGAATAGTTTCTGGTCAATTATGAAGCTGCTTGTATTAATATCAAAGCTTATAATTCGTAAAACACATAGCTCAGTTCAGCCTGTAGGAGACACTGTTCTTCAATACAAATTCTGTACCTCTAATTGATTTCTCTAATTGGTGCCAAGAGTCATAATCTAATACCCACCTGCACCTTTTAATTGGCAGATGTGCATGATTGAATGACTTTTGGTTCTTGGCTGAACTCAATAGCTGGCTCCTCCCTGAAACTTCAAAAGACACACTTCAGAACACTTCTTCTCGTTAGCCTTTTCAACTTAGTTTCTTTCTCCCAGATTAGAGTCCACACACTTAACCACTACACCAAACTGGGTCTCAAGGGAAGCACACATCAAAATGTCCTTTACTATCTCCCCATAAACATTCATACCCTGGCCCTGCTCCTACACCTGACAGACACCGGCCCTTCTGGTGTTGGGGGGGATTGTATTTAAAGGCATCGGGGAGGCTGGGCCAGCAGCAGGGCTAAGGCAATCCTTCTGAGCAAATCTCCCCGGTGGCTGTAAGCATCCCACCTCCTCTCCTACACCAGACAGGCAGCTGCTTTTCCAGTGTAGGACAGGGAGGGGGGAGGAGTATTAGAAGCCACTGTGGCGGCAGGGCTGGCAGGATCATTAAGGGATTACTGCTGGGGCAGGCTCCCTCATGGCTTTAAGCATCCTGCAACTGCTGCTGCACCTGACAGGCAACCGCCTGTTAGGTGTAGGAGTTGGGGCGGAGTGTGTTGGAAGCCATCAGAGAGGCTAGGCCGGCAGCTTTGCTTCACCTCACAGGTTGTTCTTGGCCACTCCTGATTTCCTCAACTGTCATTAGCTCTGTGCAGTCCCCTGTAACTGTTGGGGTTTTTTTACCTCAGAACACTGAGCTCTGCAGCTGACCAATCAGAGAGTGGGGGGTGAAGAGAGGCAGCTGCCTGGCAGCCGCATAGGAATCAGTGTGGGGAGCACATATTCCCCCTTTTGACCCACTTAGGGGTCAAATTTCTAAAAGTCCCTTCTTAGCGAGCACCTACGCCACGGTAGGAGCACTCTCCCTGAATTTGGTGTCTCTAGGTCCAGCGGTTTGGCCTGGGCATTGATTTTATGGTGAGGGGACTTTCTTTTATATATAGATTGGAAATATTGGTCTGATATTTCCAGAACAACTTTCTGATAAGAAAACAATATACCTGGTATCTAATGATAAGCATGCCCTTACTGACTTCCCAATACGGAATTGAAATTATAATTTTTACCTGCATACCCCTGTACTTGATTATAGTTTTTGCCTGCTATACTGAGTTAAATATATCCCATCTATGTCCAAAGTACTGAAAGTCTTTCAGACCAAATCAAGGTTCTTTTTCCCCCTTCTTTCAATAGGAACCTATACAATAAGTCTCATTACTGTTTATTTACTTCACTCCTGTTTTATTTCCACAGTTGGTTACTATTTATTTATAAATCCAGAGAACTCTTTTGAGATGGTTCTTGTTTTTAGATAATTTCCACAGATTGCTTAATAAAGAGTACTAGTACACTGACAGTTTTAAATGGAGTTACGCTATTGATTTCTGTGGATTTAGAAGGATGTAACTCTGCTTAGGATTGCACTATTCTCCGGTGGTCCAGGAGTGGAGCAGTCCTTTGGACTCCAAACTCCTGGGTTAGCTCCTCCCTCCTCTGAAGGCAGGGCCGGCAGACTCTTGAGGCACAGAGAGGGAGGGGATTGTCCATCAGATTCCCAGTCTCTCCGACCCTACTTTCAGAGCAGGTTGTGGTGGACTGTGCTCTCTTAGAGCACTTGAATTGGAAAGAAAATTGAAGAGAAGATAAGAAGAAGCACGGATATTGTGG